GGAACCTGATTTTATTTATTGTGCAAGGCTTAAATACTTTGCTGAGATTTGGGTCCATGCCCCTTGAAAGTGTGGCCTCAGACAGATAGTGGGTTTGGGGCAAGGAGAGAGGGAGAGGGAGAGAGAGAGAGAGAGAGAGAGAGAGAGAGAGAGAGAGAGAGAGAGAGAGAGAGAGAGATTGAGAGAGAGAGACAGAGAGAGAGACAGAGAGAGAGACAGAGAGAGAGACAGAGAGAATGAGTTTTGTTGGGTTTTAAAAGAACTTCCATTCTGACTTATTTCGAAGATGTGCTGAGAGCAGTGTTGTGGATCTGTCCTGAGCTGATTCCACAGCTCCTTGATGGGAGGAGTTTCAATGTCTTCTCCAGGGTGCCTTTCACAAAGATCTGGATGGACATATTACTGAACCCCAGGATTGGCATCCGGCCCATGTTCACGATCTTCAAGTGGAGGCTTTTAACATTGTACTGTATCATCTCCATGATATTGCCTGTGAACTATATCCTAAACATTGATTCTATGAAATCTACCTTCACTTTTGGATTCTCAGTGGCATTAGAATCATCTTTGCTCACCTCCATTTTTCTATTCAAAGACTACTTTGTGCGCTGTTCCAAAGGACTGACCCTGGGGAAACCCTGATGACCTTCCTGCATTAAACTGAATACTCCTCTCCTCTGTACTCTTCCCTCACTTGCCCAATCTAACTTATCAAACAAAAAAGGGGAAACTGCAGACAGACCCTGGCTAAAAGAATACTTATAGTGAGTGCAAAAATACAAAAGTACTCCACATAAAATGTCAAGACTCCTTCAATGAATGAGCTAAATATAAAGAGATCTGAAAACTAGCAGTTAGCAGAAGGAACATAAGATACTTTCAGAAACTAACACAGGCAGGGTGTTCTCACAACCTCCTGAACACTGGAGAGGCTGAGAAGGACATATGTCATCCAGCACATGATCCTGTTCATCCCCTGTCCTGCGGTCAAACTCCTGAGTAAATGTTTGCTTCTAATTCTTTGTTCTCATGTTCCTGAGTTGAAATTAACCGGTATAAATGGCTCAGATCACATATGATTCCCCTAGGGATCTAGGGAGCATAAATAGTGGCTGTGGGGCATTTGCACTGAAGTAAGGCATGTCTCCCTGTCATATTTCTTGTCCTTTAATATGGCCACAGTTGCACAATGGGACAGTGAAGTTAGAGGGGGAGCAGGCAGTTATAACCTTGTACCTATTCTTTAATGTATCTCTACATACAAAACCTCTCCAATAGCACATTATACAAAATAGAAATAAACAAAGGACAATTTTTATTTTTTTTTAACAAAGAAATGTTTACCTAGAAACTGTGGTATACAATGGACTCATCTCTAAAAAAGTCTTAATGAAAAGCTGAGCAGCTAAAGTATTTCCTTTTCCTAAGTGTAAATCTTATAAGCCATTCTTTGTGGTGCTGCTATAATCAAACAATATCCAGGGCACAGTGACACATAGGTGAGCCCCACTTTTCAGTCATATTTGGAAAAGTAAATGTGTTTACTTGCTTGTTGAGTCTTTTCCAGTCTAATCTTTTCAGCTTTGGTGATTAACTTCTCTGTGCCTCTCTTCTTGTCCAGTGGCTGACTGAGCTTGGCTTGTCTATCTACAGAATATTCTGCCAATATCTTTGTTCATGTTCACCAGAAAGGACCTTCAGTTTTCAGCTGTACTTCTTTTAAATCTTAGTGTGGACATTCATTAGTACCAGGGCTGCCTCTAGGGTGGAAATCTAGCATGACATTCTGTGTGTCCTTTTAGCAGGTCTATGTATACATGTTCTGAAATAGCCCCCAGTGTATCTGGGACTTGCTTCTGGCCAGACAGAGGTTCTGGGCAACTGATCTTCATGACGACTCCACTCACAAACTGTCCCCTCAGGGACTGGTCTTCTCCTCAGGGTGCTGCTCTGGACCACAGGCTTCTCCAGTCTTCACTGCAGCGCCACTAGGCACTGTGCTGCCTGTTTCCATTTCTGATTCTGATTTTATTGCAGTTATTGTCCTTTTTAAAGAAGCCACGCTGGCTTTATGCAATGCAAATACTCCTTTTTTAGATGCATCCATTCATTATTGGATAGGACCCAAGAAGATATGACTTCTTCACCCATTTTATGTCTTTGTGTTTTTCTTCTGCGACCTTTTCTTTTCTTTTATTTCCTTTTCCTTTCTTTTCTTTTCTTTTCTTTTCTTTTCTTTCCTTTCCTTTCTCTTTCTTTCTTTCTTTCTTTCTTTCTTTCTTTCTTTCTTTCTTTCTTTCTTTCTTTCTTTCTTTCTTTCTTTCTTTCTTTCTGTGTGTGGCTGGCTCAGCCCACCCTGGGGATGGGGCTGGCATAGATCCAAATACAGTCCCTGCACTTGCCTAAGCTTGCCCAAGCAGGCACTTTCCACC